TCAAGGATTATATTTATATTGAAAAGGCACATATGCACGGACCAATCAATGCTTTACAGCACGAAACCAATGTTTTACTACTGATGAACAACATTTAATCATTAAAATTACAAAGCAGTGCTCTTTTGAAAAAGTAAACCTTGCTAAAATATATTTTTATTTACGGAATGTTTTATCTGAATGAATGTATATGTATTTAAATATCGAATTTTTAAAATCGTTTAGAATAGACACGCGTTTTTAAATATAGTTTGAAGACGGAAAATATTTTGCTTTCAGTAGCAACGTTGGTAGATGCGTGAAATTGATCAATTCTCGAACAATCGTATTTTCTGACATCGTATTAGTCAACATTAGTCTATCTAGTGCGAGCTTTTTTGAAACAAATTAATGATCAACAATTGAGTGAATTGGGTCTTCGGCAGCGTGCAATTTGAAGAAGTTGTATATTTGGAAGAAAAAGCCACATGCGATAAAATGGTATCCAGGCCAATTTATAATAGTGAAACTCTGCTAGAACTTCCTACGCCAGATGAAAATTTAGAAGCCGTTAATTCATGCCTTAAAGAAAACGTACTTTCTTCGAGAAGAATTTCTCTTCGTCTCGCGTTTACATTAACTATTACTGGTATATCTTTGCTTTACTTAGTTTACATATTTTTTAAGCTACTTATTTATGGTAAATAGGACCCCTGAAGAGCAATAAACATGTAACGATGTTTGATAACTAAATTTTTGTACAGTCCATTCCCGATCTACATCTATTGATGTATTGGGAATACTGTAAAACATATAATAATAATTTATTGCCTCTTGCTGCTTAAAATGATAATGATTAAATGGAGAAAGTTGCGGAATCTTTAATTTCCCCTTCAGCCCTTTATTAAGTTTTTTCTTGATAATTTTTTAATTTAAAATCTATGCTCTTTCAAAAACAACACTAACCTCCGAGCTCTAATGACAAAAATGTTTGATATTTGCAAAAAGATCGTTTTACTTTTTTAATTACAACATTTATGTTGTGTTATTCTAATTTCAAACTTTCTTTATTGCTTCATTTTTGTTCTTTATTAGATTTTTGTTTTACATGGAAAATTATCTTATTGTATTTTATTGAAGTGGATGTATACACATTTTTAGAGCAATTGCTATTGACATCTAATTATCAATTAAAATTGACCAGGTCATGAAAACCCAATCGACAAGATTAATAACTTTTTGGAAATTAATATCAATTGCTATTTCGGTTTTCAAAAGAATGCTCCTTATAATTAATTAATTATAAGAGGCAAAATTAATTTTACAAAGACGAAAATTGTTCAATTTTCTTTTTTGTCGCAAATCTTTGTTTATCAAAAAATTGAGAAAATTGAACATTCAATTTGATATGTAAGTGATAAGGCAAATACTGAGTTAATAGCCCAGCACCAAATTTTGTTGCCTTCATATTGTGTCCTACTCTAATAAATTTAAGAGCATGATAGGAATCCGAGGAAGAGCACATTATGGCTCAACGTTAAATGCTCATGTTTATATTTAGACAACAATTAGAATGTTTTTAGAAATATCTAGTTTTCGAAAAATTATATTTAATTTTCGAAATTACTCAGTAATTTTTTAATTGACTGCAATGAATTTACTTCAACATTCCTGTTTTCCATGTTTCGTAGTTCTCCCCAAAAACCTATACATATAGGTCCAATTTGAATCACTTTTTACACCAACATTTAACTACCAAATGTAATTAAACATTTTTATATAAAACTGTTTTATATAGAACAATGAATGCACATGGACACTGGAGTCAGACTTACTGCATAGCTCTTTTATAAGAATTCTGTTATAGATGAACTAAGTTCCTAACGATTTTTTTATTTTTCTAACATTGTTCCGCATGTTCTTGCATTTTACGTATATTTTTTAAAGTATGTTTCTGACCTATAAGAATATGATATGTAATAATTTGAGTTGCTTTTGTTTATATTCGATTTTATAATTGTTTCTCTAACTAATTGCCTATTTATTTGTCAATTGTATAGTCAGTTTTATAACACAGTGACTCAAACATTTTAAAATATATGAATAATGGACAATGTGCGTTTTATTTTGTGTTGTTGATAAAAAGTTTTTATGGCTTTAATTAGTGATCTTGATCTGACATAATGTTTAATCTATTTGCTTTCCTCTTGAACTTTGTTATAACTATTTGCGGCTTATATTTGGTTATTTAGTGATAAAACTTTCCAATAAATTTTTGTTAATAGTCCGGTGATATTGCCGCCTATTAATAAAAAACTGTGGCTCAAGTGATAGCATTATTTTTGTCTTTAATTTATGCTTGCCTTAATTTTAGTCTAGCGCTAGTAGATAGTATTACTTCTATATATACAGGGTTGCTCATTAGTGCGTCAAAGTGCGATATCTCAGTAAATATGAACTTTACAAGAAAATACGTCCTACGAAAGTTTTTCATGTTTAAAAGGTCCACATTTTAAAATTACTTTCCAATATACGGGGTGTATCATAAACGTGTGGTAGTTACCAACTTTGGTTTTTTAAATGGAACCGCCCCTTTTTTCATTCATTTTCAGATTTGTCGTCAAAATTTAAGTTAAGTTTGTGTCAAACGTTTTACCTGAAAAATTTACGATTTCCGAGTTATTCGTAAAAATGTGAAAGTTTTGACAGCTACTGGGTTCCACAGAAATCGATGCTGTACACTACCCGCTGCGAATTTTGGAAAACAGTTTTCAGCGATTCTAACAGAACATCATGACCTACGCGTAGATATGTTTTAAATTATAAGGAAATACTTCTAAACCGCGCAATTAGCCTCTAAACTTGCATGTTTTTAAACCTCAAAAAGTTGCTT